GAGAGAAACCTAACTAGAGAGAAGTCCACTACAGTGCGTGCAGGTGATACTCCACTTGTCCGTCCTGAATGTGTTAAAGGCAGCAGTAAAAAGTGACGGCTCTGGGGTTATACTACCTGCATTTTAACCCAGGCCGTGGGCAAAAAGCTGCTGAGCCTCTCTGAACCTAACTGCCTCATCTATAAATTAGAATGATACTAGTGAGGATTAAATGAAATAATGCATATAAAGTGTCTAGCCCAGTGCCCAGCAGAATAAGTGCTCTATCATATGTCGCCCGCTGTCAATTTCTACAACTCATGTATTCACCTATTCATTCATTTCTCGTTCCATCTTCTCTATAGCATATATGCTGGGCACTGTGGCAGACAGGTGATGATGTAAAGATAGATGATAGGAAGGACGCGTCTCAGTATGCTACGAGTTATAATATATGCAGTAGGGGGGATATGGACTTGGAGTAAAAGGATGTTTTGGGGTGATGGAAACATTTTGTATTTGTATCATGGCAGTGGTCACATGCTATATAAAATTTTCAAAAACTCATCGAAATTATATTTAAGATTTTATTGCATGTAAATTCTAACTCAACAAAGTTGAGTTTTTAAAAAGCACCGAAGGACCCAATATGAATTTATTGAATGGGCAAAGTGATGGACGAGTGAATGAATGAATGTGTAAATTAATATCTCAGATGATCGATCGCCCACTTGTCCTAAGGCCACTATTATCCCAGGTGACCGCGCCTTTTGCCTCTCCTATAGCTGTCCACGGGGTTTCCCTAGAAGAGGTGAGCTTTGGAATTTCTCTTCCTCTTTTCCCACCCTCACGCTTTCCCCAGCCCCAGAAAGAGATGTCCCTGGCTCATCTAAGGCCGCTTCCTGGGACTTCCTGGGGCCTGTCTACCAGCTGCCACGTGCAACCCGACCACCTCCAGTTCAGCTGCACGGTACCAAGGTCATGTGTGTGATGCCCAACTACAGACCCTCAGAGCCAGCCGTTTAGGAGCCCAAACCCTGGCCGACTCCGCCACCTTCTGGCACTTTTCGGAACTGCAACACTAGAGCTCCGGGGAAGCCGGAACCTTTGTTGCGGGATCTTGTCCTGGGTTGGGGCTTTTTTTTTTTCTTTTTTTTTGAGACAGAGTCTCACTTTGTCACCCCCTTTCCCCAGGTAGACTGCGGTGGGGTCATAGCTCACAGCAACCTCAAACTCTTGGGCTCAAGCGATTCTCTTCCCTCAGCCTTTCGAGTAGCTGGGACTATAGGTGCCTGCCACAACGCCCGGCTATTTTTAGAGACAGGGTCTCGCTCTAGTTCAGGCTGGTCCTGAGCTCAGGCAATCCACCCGTCTGCGCCTTATTGCACTGGCTTTATTAAATTTTATCCCTGCGGTGGGCTGTGAAACATAAGGAAACAGACACAGAGAAGCTAAGATAGTTTTCCAAGTTCACACGGTAAGTTACAGACCTGAGATTCCCACCCAGAGCTGTCAAACACTCCAGTTTATGTTCTGTCCATGAGTCCGCATCTTGCTTGTGGAGAGCATACTCAACTCTCAAAAGGAGGGCAGAGGCTTCACATCACCCTCCCAAATTTACCTACCAGAGAAGGTGAATGTAGTGCCTCTTGTGTGCCAGGTGCCATGTGGCGGGCACTGGGCAAAGATAAACATTGGGAAGGACACACCTCAAAATACTGTGCTCAGGTCTGATGCCCTAATAGATACCCTGCCATAAACTTTGTCAGGCCAAGCAGAAAGACCCATACTTCAGTCACAATTAAGTCAAACAAGGTCTTGAATTTGTTCCTTGGACCCAACTGCCTGTGCTTCTAACTCAAGAATAATAACCAAGGAGTGGCATATTATTTTTACATCTCATTTACATATGATTAATCCTAAGTCAAAGTGAATGGAGGTCATCCTGGCCCCTTGCTTCTCAGTGCCCCCTCCTCCCATGTGCCTGGTCCTGGCCACCTCCTCCAGCCTCTGCTGGGCTCCACTGTCTTCACCAGCTTCTCCCACTCCCTGCCCAGGCCCACCCCTCCTCCAGCTCCCAGAAATCCCCTTCCCTTCCTCCTCTGTCGCCCACGCAGCCCCCACCACCTGGCCGCCCACCTGAAAAACTTTTCCCCAAGTTCTTGAGAAGTCGCGTAGGATCCAGGAGAGAAAAATCAAAGTAATAAAACCTCATTTAATTCCTAACGGAGGGCAGAGCTGTGAGCTGCAATTATCTTAATGCTGAGCTATTTTTACTCCCTCTCCATCTCTGTCTCCTGCCTCTCTCCTTCCTGAGGCTTTCTCTTTCTCTCTCTGCCTCCCTTTGTCTCTCCATCGCTCACGTTTTCTGTCTCTCTTTTCCTTTCTCCTACCCCCTTATCTCTCTCTCATCTCCTGTCTCTGTGCAGTCTCTGTGGTCCTTCCTCTCCTTCCTATCTGTCCCTCTTGGCCCCAGAGTTTAGCAGCCAGAGGTGTGGGTGGCCAGGCAAAGGCTGGGGGGAGAGGACAGAGACTCACTTCCACACCCAAAGACCCCATCTTCCAGGCCTATCTGAGGAGGGAAGATCCTCTGCTCTCATCTCCCTTCTTAGTTGGGTCAGGAGAACTTTTTCTGATGCTGGGGCTCCTAGAGCTCCAATACTTTGTCAGAGCCTCCATAAACAAGCCCTTCTGGTCAAAGGAGTCTCAAATGCCATGTTCCCCAAGGCCTTTTTGGCTCTGATGGGCTCCGAGGTGCAACTGGTGGTGATGCCACCCTGTCCTCTCTTCACCAATCCAGCTCTCCTCTGTCCCCTTCATCCCCCTTCATCCTTCCTCACAACCCCCAGCTCTGGAAGCCACAGGTCCTTTGCCCAGTGGCTGTTAAGGTTACCGCCTGGGCCATACCCTTCCTGTGACCTTTCTTACTACTTTCCAGGCCTTCTCATTCACCCTCCTATGGCACTGCCAAACTGGCCTTTGCCACTCCCCACCGCACCCCATCAGGAAGAGGGGCTCTGGGCCAAGAGGCTGCCAGTGATGCCCATATCCCTGGGCCAGCAACTTGGCATCCGGCTATTTCCCAACAAGTATATAAGTCAACACATACCCAGGAACTTGAGTCAGACCTGGGGCTGGCAGATGTGGACCTGAGTGGCCAGGACATTCTACTCCCATGAGCAAAGCCATGCCCCTTCTGCCACCCCCTCACTCCCAGAGTGTGCTCTGACCCCATTTCTATAACATTCCTCTGGCCTCTCACTCCACCAAGGCCCCAGCACAGCACAGCTGGGAGCAGAAAAGCTGCTGAGGGGGGGCATTGGGAGGACAGGGAGAGCTCCTGGCTGTTCCAGGCCTGGGAGTGACCAGGAGAGAGGACGCCAACACTAACAGAGCCCAGGAAGACACACACATATGTACACACATGTGCCCTCTCAGCACCAAAGAGAGGCTTTCAGACCCTTACACACAGCTCTGCAGAGGAAACACCAGATCCTGCAAAGACACTCAGGCCTGGACAGACAGACAAGGACATTCTACCCACAGGCCTTCTCCTCCCCTTTCCCTGCTCCAGAGACACACACAGCCCTCTGGAGAGAGGCTCACACCTCAGAAAGGAGCACATGCCCCCCCCCCCCGCTCTGCTCCCCAATGCACCAAACTCACACACGTGATGGCACGTGTACAGGCAGCCCCCAACCCTCCCAACTCTGGGCTGGCTCTGTACTCCCCAAAAGATCTGGGGAGAAAAGGCAGGAGACACGTGAATCCAGTGTACATCATGGCAGGGACACATCTCCCTTCTGCTCCCCCCGCCAAGAGCACTCACACATTCACAATCTCATACCCAGTCTACTGTGAGGCTGGAGCTGTGGGTACAGTGCCCCCACCCTCCTGCAAGCTGGCACACGCCTGCCCATCACCTTGACAGCCTCTGACATCCTCCCCCACACCCACACCCTCCCCCAAACGCACGCAGTCCTCCCACACCCTGCCACTCACACAGGAATCCTTGACACTCTGACACACTTACACAGACTCACACTCGTCCACACTGACCACCAGCCAGGTTTGGACACCACAGGGCCCAGGACACTCGCTCGCACACAGTCCCTGCCATGATGACTGACATGTGTCCTCCCGCACACAACTCGTTCACATTTACTCCATTTCTAGGGCACCCCCATTCCACAGCGTGACATGCTGGCACTCTCTCCACGACCTCACAGCCTCCAAGAAATTCCAAGTATCAGGGCCATGAAGTGGTTAAAAGCTGGAATCCTGCCTCCCCCTCTTCCTGCCCCTTTATCCTCGCTGCTGGACTCCATCAATAATGCAACTTCTAGTTCTGGGGAGACCGCAGGGGGCCCCCAGCCCGGCCCTGGCTCGCACTCCCCACCCTCCCCGCCCCAGGAGAGCACAGCTCTTGGTGCTTATTGGCCACTTTCGCCTAAGCCCTCCCTCCAAGCACCCGGCGCCAGTCCCACTCCGCTGAGGGGACGGGCTGAGGACCCCAAGGCTGGGACCAGAGGGCTGAGCCCAGCAGAGACAAGGACACACGGAGAGGAGAGGCAGAGGGAGGGAGATAGAGGAAGGCGGGAGGGGCAGAGACAGACTCTGAGACGCTCAGAGACGCTCAAAGAGCGCGAGGGAAGGAGGTTTGAGACACAGAGCCCCCGGGCGACAGCGTGAGGGCGGAGGCGCCAGGGGACCCAGACCCTGACTCCGCGCAGCGAGCGGGGCAGGCGAACCCGAGAGCCAGAGGGAGCCCGGAGAGATCGGAGGGCGCGTCAGCCCGGCCCCGCAGGCGAGCCCGAGCGGCCGACCCCTCCTCCCCGCTCCCGCGCCCTCCCCTCGCCCAGCGCGGTATTTTTATCTGTGCGTGAACAGCCCTCCTCCTCCTCCTCGCCACACACAGCCCGCCGTCAGCGCGGCGCCCCGAGCAACGCGGGGGAGCCGAGCAGGGACCGCAGCCGAGACCCGGAGCCGCGTGCCCCAGCCTCGCCGCCCGCCCCGCCGCCATGGACCCCAAGGACCGCAAGAAGATCCAGTTTTCGGTGCCCGCGCCTCCCAGCCAGCTCGACCCCCGCCAGGTGGAGATGGTAAGGGGGCCGCGCCCCACCCCGGCAGCGCCCCCAACACTCCCAGCGGGGCTGCTCGGCGCTGCTGTGCGGACTGGCTTGGGTGGGGGCAGAAGGACACCCGGGACTCGGTCGCGGCCACTGCTGGGGCGCGAGGCCGCGCGGAAAGTTCGCTGGAGACTCGTGCAACTTTTCCCGGGGCCTCCCTCCGGATCCCTGGGGCCGGAGAATTCCCATCAGCGAACCAGCGTCGGGGAGCAGGCCGGTTCCGGGCCGTCCCCAGTGGGGGTACTATCCCTTAGACCCCGCACAGCCCCCTAGGCTAGCCCCTTTCCCTAGGCTACCACCAGGACCACTCTGCCCCAGTTCCAGTCCAGAGCTGGTCAGATGGGACCAACTTCAAACGCTTTTACACAGAGGGAGTTGAGGCCCCCTACTCCACTGCCCTGCCCCTCTCTAGTTCATCGTGTGCGCCTAGGCTGGGATCTCCTGACCTCCTTCTGCTGTCAGACTCCAAGGAGGGAGAGGTGACCAGTCATTACAGGAGCCAGACCTCTTCCCACAGACTACTGAGTTTTAGGGAGAGCCTTCTTGGGGGCTGGGAGGCCTCCCAAGGTGGGGGTAGGTAGGTTGTGACAGAGGACTCCGCCCTCACAGCCTAGCAGGGGGTCACTTGTTGCTGAGATGCAGCTGGCTCCCAACGCAGCAGTGAGAACGGGGCCAAGTGCTTTTAAGGGGAGATGGGGCAGAGGTTTGAGTCCTGAGCCTAAGCAGCTTTTGGTCTGGAGGGTGTGTGGGGAGCTTGGCAAGGGGAGGCAGCAGTTTCAGCCTAACTCACCTGGTTCTCTGTGCTTTTCCCTGGAGCTCAAAGGGGACCTAATTAACCTACCCTTGGTCTGATTGCCAAGCTGATGGTGGGGGGTTGTGGCAGTTGGTGGGAGTGCTCAGTGCCCCCCCATTTGGCTTGGCTCATGTAGCCAGAAAGGGCAACTTTTCATTTTTCACAGTGATTGGGTGATGATTTCTAGAGCCTGGCAGAGACCTCCAGAGGGGCCCAGTCCCAGCCCCAGAGATACCCCCCAGGTCCCTTTGGTCCCTGTCTCAGTCCCCCACCAGAGCCTGGTGAGGTCAGAGGTTGCTGCAGTGCCCAGGCTCAGCCTCCCTCTGCAGCTGAGTGTGGTTTCTTTGGAGCCCTTGAGCTGACCTTAGATGGGCAGGGCCACATGGGTGCCAGAGGGTCCATCCCTGGTCGCTGAAGCTATAGCCAGCTCTGGCTCCCAAGGGCTTCCAAACCTGGAGTAAGGAAGGGCCTTGGTGGAAGAAGATAGAAAAAATATCTGTTCTGGAGTAGCCATGGAGTGAGATGGGCATGGAAACCAGTGACTGGGGTTTTTCTCCTCCTTTGGACTTGCTATGTGGCCTTGAACACATTACTGAACCTCTCTGAGCCTTGGGTTTTCACCTCTGGAAAATGAGGGGGTTGGGTGAGCTACAGAGCTCCTTTTAGCTCTGACAGTCTTTGATTCAAAGGTTCCCTGGGGACTCCAAAGCACTGTTTGTTCCCTGCTCTCTAGGGGTGGGGGTGGCTGCAGGTGTCTATCCTGTACCCCTACCCCAAATCTCCCTAGATCCGGCGCCGGAGACCAACCCCTGCCATGCTGTTCAGGGTCTCAGAGCACTCCTCACCAGGTAGGACCCCTTCCCTGCCCACCCAGCCCTGCCCCAGCCTACCTCTGATGCCTTCTTAGGGGCCCTACCAAAGTCCCTTGAGTAGGAGACAGTACTGAAGCCAGGGGAGTGGATAAATTCTGGAAGCCCAAGTCTACTGGGTTTATTTATCAACATGGCACCTCCCAACATCAAGAGGGAAGGGACACACTTTCCTTTGCCCTGAAGGTTGAGACTTTGGGGAAGGTAACTTGGATTTTTTTCTCTCTCCCTCTTCCTTCTTCCTCCTTTCTCCGTTTGATTTGGTTTGGTTTGGCGGCTTCCCTCAGAGGAGGAGGCCTCCCCTCACCAGGTGAGTTTCCCAGGGCAGTTGGAATCAAGAATACCTGGGCCCTTTGGGGCAGTATGGATGAGAGCCTGCAGTGCCACCCAGGAGGACACATTAACATATCAGTCAGCATCTCCTCTGAGAGTGCCTGTCAGGGTGCCATCAGCAGATCCTCCTCTGCTCAGGCTCTAGTGTAACCTCCAGCACCTAGGGTCCTGCCCTGAACCATGATTTATGGGGACCTTCCCAAAGTAACAGGGTGGAGACTCAAGCTAGGTACAGGTCCACTAGCAGAGGGTAGACCAGTGGGGTTGCCATGGGTAAGATGGAATGGAGGGAGGGTAAGGGGAAGGGGCCTCTGGTGAGCCCATTTAACCTGGCACTTCTCTGGCAGAGAGCCTCAGGAGAGGGGCACCACCTCAAGTCGAAGAGATCCAACCCCTGTGCCTACACACCCCCCTCGCTGAAAGGTACTACCCTCCACCCATCTGTCTTGTCTGTTCCCTTGATCCCTAGACAGTTCTAGGCTGACTTTAGGGGAGCAAGGTGAAATGTTAAGCTTTTGTCAGTGGGGCAGGATTGTTTTGTGTATCACAACCCCAATTTAAAGACCAATCCTTTCTTAATCTGTCCTTGAAAAACACAAGGAGCCCAAAGGCTGAAAGAGGCAGCTGTAGGCTCTAACATTAGGTTGTGGCGTTGAAAAAAAAAGTTGTTCTGAAATAACCAGCATGCACCCATGTGAAAGAGACTCAGTCTGCACCTCCCCTTTCCCAGATCACCTCCCACCCTCTCTTATCACCTGGTATCACACATTCCCTCCCCCATTTGCACAGATCTGCATGCTGGACTCTCCTGCTTTTCCTTTCTGCATCAAAAGGCAAGCCATTCCTTTTGCACACACTTACTGAAAATCTAATACGTGCCAGGCCTCACTGGTGAGCACTGGGCAGAATAAGGAGCAAAATTTGGTTCCTGCCCTCCTGGGACACTTAGCTGCCTCAAAGGCTCAGGGAGACTTTGCAGAGGAGAGCATGGTTAAGGCTGGATTTGAAGGCTTATAGGAATTTAACAGGCAGGCCAGGACATTTGAGGGAGAGGGAAAAAGGTGTACAGAGAGGAGGAGGTGTGACTCCTAGGGGCTTTAAGGCCAACCTGGACTTGGTGTCTGGAGGGGAGCTTGGAAGATAAACCTGAAGGGAAGGGCTTACAGACTGGAGTGTGGAGGGCCTGTCCTAACTGAGCCCTAGAAGTGTACACACCCCCACCTCAACCCCTGCCTGAGGCTTTTACTGCCTGGCCAGCCCCCTTCCTCCTACAGAGGTTGGGAGACCAACTGGAAGCTAAAGCTGTGCTGAGAGCAACTTTGGGGCTGGGTTTAGTAAGTTCCCAGCAGAGCCAAGGTCAACAGGTGCACCTGTCAGCCTGCCTGCTGGTGTTGTGAGCAGAGAAGAAAGGCCAGGAGGTGAGGAGAGAAGGGCAGAGGTTCTTTCTCTTCCTCCAGGACAAGACAGCTGCAGCAAGTGGGCAGTGTGGTCCAGCATCTGGTGGACTTCCCCACTCATAGGAATGTGTAGAAAGGCCCCAAAGCAGGCATGAGGGAGGAGGTAACACCTCAGGAGAGAAATCCCACTCCTCCCCAGCCTGGGCTGGGGAGAGGCTAGGTGGCTATGAGGGTGAGGAGCTGGGCTCTGGATTGGGAGCATGGGGAAGCCAGCCTAGGTGAAGAGGTTCAGTCCAAGGTGTTGCCCACATACCTTGATGGCCAAAAGTATGCCCCCACTTTACTGTCCCTTTGGGCTATAGCTTAGGATAGTCCATGTGAGCAGAGACAGAGAAGTGGGAAGGGGTCAGGAGAAGGCTGGGCAGTCTGGGGACCTTCAAACTTAGAAGGGAAGACTTGGGCCATCAGGGATGGAAACAGAAAAGACAGCTTGGGGGGGGGTGGTGGCAGGAGACCCCAGAGAGCCCGATGAGGCAAGAAGGAGGTGAGGAGAGATGAGGGAGGCTCACAGGCACCAGCATGGGTGCCACACACACCTATTGTTGTCACTGTGGCTCAGGAACTGAACTCTTCCTCCCCCAGTGGGGGAGAGGAAAACTGCCCGAAGTGCCACCTCCTCTCCTCCCTTATCTCCCCACCAACCTATAAAGACCCTTATGTACCAGAAGGGCACTGTTTTGTAGGCTTTGGACCCTTTATGAGCAAAGGAAGTGCCTAGCAGGTTAGGGGTTTGTAGGGGAAGAGTCAAGAGCCCTCAAGGGAGGTGGACAACACAAGGTCTTGGAGGGGGTGCTTCAAGGCTGGAACTCTCACACTTGGCTCAAGATGAAGATCTGCTGCGTCGCCAAGGCCAGGGTAGGGAGATTTATTGCACTTTTATTGCCTGGGTGGCTTGCCCAGAGCCAGCGGGAGGCATTGGGCAGAGAGCTGGGGGCAGGGTGGGGCAGCAGGCACACACAATGCACCCTCTGTGCCTGTCCCTGAGTTGGCAGGAGTGCGGTGCCCTGCTCACTGCACCGGAGGTTTCCAGCCTGGACCTACCCCTTTGGGACTTCTGAGGGGAGGGGCCGCTGCCAAAGAAGTTGCTGCAACCCTACCCCACCCCCATCCCCGCTTGTCAGCATCTTGTGGCCTGTGTCCTATATACTCTAGAATCCCACCACTCCTGCAGCTTATCCTCACAGTGTCCCCACCCCTGCCATCCCCAGGACCCTATCCCCCTTTCTCCTAAGCCCCTGCTCTTTTCCATCTTTTGGAAACTTCTCTCCACTGCCCACACTGTTCCCTTAGCATCATTCTCCAAGCAGGTCTTTTGGCGGGGGTTGGGGACGCTTTCTAGGTCACCACAGAGGGAGCTGGGAGCTTGGGGATGTGGGTCAAGATTGTAGGGGCCGCATCTGAACGGGCCACATCACCAGGCACAGACTACATTGGCTGCAGACTATTATGTCCTCAGCCTGAGAATTGTTCCAACCCCTCGGAGCCTAGGCAAGAGTGTGCAGATTGGCATCTGTGACTGGGCAGTGCCACGGGGTGGTGACTGCAGAGCATGGGAGGCAGGATCGGGGTGAGCAGTGAGCCTTAAGCAGGCTAGGCACTACCCCAGAAATGGCAAGGGGCAAATCCCCAGGTCCTGGCCAACGGGCCCTGTGCCTTCTGCCCAGGCTTGAAGCTGGTAGACACTGTCTCCAGGACTGGGTTCTTGGCAAACCAAGCTCTGCAGCCAGGGAATGTTAAGCTGCTGCTGTGCCCGCCTGGTCTTGCCCAGCCTGGCACCTTGTGGTGTAGGGGAGCTGCCTGGTGCCAGCCTCCAGGGGGCCAGTATGTTGAGATAGCTTAAGAGCCAAACATGATAAAGTCTACTCCTTGCTGTTTCTGCCCTTGTCTGACCCACAGCAAACTGACCTGTAGCCTTTGGCCTTTAAACTTGGGCCCCTGCGAGAGTGATCTTTGCAGATAACTGCCTCTGGTTAGCACTTACCTCCCTGGGTCCCCTCTGTGACAGCTGTGCAGCGCATTGCTGAGTCTCACCTGCAGTCCATCAGCAACTTGAATGAGAACCAGGCCTCAGAGGAGGAGGATGAGCTGGGAGAGCTGCGAGAGCTGGGTTATCCAAGAGAGGAAGAGGAGGATGAGGAGGAGGATGATGAAGAAGAGGAGGAGGAAGAAGACAGCCAGGCTGAAATCCTGAAGGGCAGCAGAATGTCTGGTAAGCTGAAGAGACTATGACATGTGGGCCTCACCACCAGTGGTTAGGTGTGGGTCCCTAAGTGTCCTTAGACAACCCATCCCAGTTCAGTTTCTCACACATGCAGGCTGCAGTAACACCACAGGGGCTCCCTGTCCTCTCACTCCACAGGATGCCTCACACTCAGCCCTACCTGAAACATGAGCTTCCTCCATCCTTGGCTCAGTCCTTCTCCCAATCAGGTTTTCCCTAATAAATCCTCTCATCCCTAGGAATTAAGGCCAAAGCCATATGAGGTTTGAGAGTAGACCCAGAAAAAGACTTCCCACTCACGGCAGTGAAGAGGTGTGAGGACACTCAGGGATAGATGTCTGAGAGATTCCAGCATCCCCATTGCCTGCATTTCTGAACTTGGGATGTGGTCTCTGCTAGGGTGCAGAGGGCTGGCTGACTTGCCCTCTCTAGGACTCTTGTTTCTCCTTCTTTTTCCTTCCTAGGATGGGGTGAGAGGGTGCCCCCTAGTGTCTAGATGGAGACTCCAGGATTCAAGAACCAATCTCGTCCTCTGCACCTCCAGCTTCAGTTTCCTGGAAGAGAGGGGCGAGGGAGGGGCCTAATACCTATACAGAAGCCCTCAGAGCCAGAGGCTCCAGATCCAAAAAAACCCACAGAAAGTCTCAAGGGCCAAAAATTTTTAGACAGAAAGATTTCACCTCTGCCACTACCCATGCCTAGTTCTTCCACACCTAGTCATGGAGGCTATGCCATAGTTATCCCTCCTGGATATATCAAACTTTTTGGTCTCAGTATTTATGGGAATAATGAACAGTCAACTAGCCCTGCTTGAAGTGATCAGGCTTTTAACCCAAACAAAATAGCTTGGGCTTCCTGTCTGCATCTCTGGCAATGAGGCTGCTAGCAACGAGGGAAAGCTGGAAGAGTTGAGTCAGTTCCCACCAAGACTCCCCCACCCCCACCCAGAGGAGGTGGAAAAGAGGTGAGAGGAGAGTCTTCCCTTAGGAAAAGCATTAGGGCACTGGGTCAAATGTCAAATGACAAGCTTATTCACTGCCACCACTGCTGACTTGCTTCTGGGTGCTGGTGCTGGGTTGTGCTGGGAATTAACTATTATCTTGTTTAAGGTAATCTACACAACTCCCCTTTTATTATCTCTGTCAGAAAGATAGCCACTGATTTATCTAAGACAAATGGCTAGCCAAGGAAGAGCTGTCCTAGTCCACTGCTTTCACTACTATGCCATGATATGCTCACAGAAAGTTTAGCCTTAGCCATCAGAAAGGCTTAGCTCATGCTCCAGGACATCGAGATGGATACTCAGAGCCTGTGTTTTTATTCTCATCCTCAGCTGGGCAGAAGACAAACTATGGCCAGGGTCTGGAGGGGCCCTGGGAACGCCCACCCCCTCTGGATGAGTCCCAGAGAGATGGCAGCTCTGAGGATCAAGTGGAAGACCCAGCACTACGTGGTGAGGCATGAGAGTATGTGATGGGGAAGCAAGGCTGGGATCTTAGTGGGTGGGGCCAGGCCCTGAGTCCCTCTCTGCTTGTCTTGTAGAGCCAGGAGATGAGCCTCAGCGCCCTGCCCCACCTGAGCCTGGCACATAGGTCCCCAGCCTTGCATCTCCCAGGAGGATGTGGAGGGGGCATCACTGTTGCCCAGAAACCCACTCTGTCCGCACCCTGTTTTGTGTCCTTCCCCTTACCTGCTAGGGCTGCGGCTTCTGACTTCTAGAAGACTAAGGCTGGTCTTTGTTTGCTTGTTTGCCCATCTATGGCTGATACCCAGAGAACCTGGGCACTTGCTGCCCAATGTCTTCCCCTGCCAGTCATTTTCCCAGTGGAGGTGGGATATGAGAGCTCACACTGGAAAATCTAGGAAACCAGCTGGGTGTAATCTCACGTCTGTACTCTTAGCACTTTGGGAGGCCAAAGCAGGTGGATTGCCTGAGCTCAGGATTTCAAGACCAGCCTGAGCAAAAGCATGACCTCATCTCTATTAAAAACAGAAAAACTAGCCAGGTGTTGTGGCAGGCGCCTGTAGTCCCAGCTACTTCAGAGGCTGAGGCAAGAGGATTGCTGGAACCCAGGAGTTTGAGCTTGCTGTGAGCTATGATGATGCCATGGCACTCTACCCAGGGCAACAGAGCAAGACTCTGTCTAAAAAAAAAAAAAACAAAGAAAGAAAGAAAAAGAAAAAAAATCCAGGAAACCAGGAACAAGGATTTATCCTTCACAATTCTACTCCTCAGATCCTCTCCCCTGGGCGCAGGAGACCCACAGGGCAGGACCCTAAGATTTGGGGAAAGAAGGTACTGAGGACCTGTAGGTACCCTTAGATCCACCTCCATCCCCTCTCCTATGGGAGATTCCAAGTCATCACCCCTCTCCTCACTGGCTTGAACCAGGCCCCAGGACTCAGGCATCCTTCTACACAGCCTCAACATTTTGGAAATTCCCCTTATTACCCCTGCTCTTTGTGGGTGCCTGGAAGATGGACTGGCAGAGGCTGCTTTGTTGCATTTTGTGTGTGCTTTGATGCTGGGAATGCCGCCTAGTATACATCCTTGGGGGAGTACGCAGTGAGGGGAGCCAGGTTCTCCTTATCCCTTAGCTGCTCTGCCTCCTTCCCCTTCTTCCCTAACTCCAGGCCTGAACCCCTTCAGTGCTGTAAGCTGTAATAAATCTTTGTAAATAACTGTGTTGAGATTCCTCTCTTGGTGAGGGGGGAAAGGAGGGGAAGTAATGGAGAGTCCTAATATGGAAGACTTAGAGACATCGAAGGGTAAGGGTGCAATACCTATTGTATGAGTCTTCTGCATATAATAGCCTTGAGGCACTGTTAAGAAGGACTGCAGAAGTTCTAGCTTGGCTTGGGATGGGTGAAAGAGGCGAGGCGTGGGATGGGGTGACCCTTGGGGGAGAGGTGGGAAAAGTCCTTCAAGAGTAATTGTGGAGGCCAGCTGCTCATGCCTGTAATCCCAGCACTTGGGAAGCAGAGGCGGGTGGATTGCCTGAGTTCACAGGTTCAAGGCCAGCCTGAACCAGAGCAAGACCTCCTTTCTAAAAAATAGCCAGGCTTTGTGGTGGGCATCTGTAGTCCCAGCTACTTGGAGGCTGAGGCAAGAGAATAGCTTATGCCCAAGAGTTGGAGGATGCTGTGTGAGCTGTGACTTACGCACTGTACAGAGGGCGACAAAGTAAGACTTTGCATAAAAAAAAAAAAAAAAAAAAGTAATTCTGGATCTCTCCAAGGGATCTGTCCCTCACCCCTACAGACAGGCCTCCCTTTAGAAAGTTCTCTTATCTTCCACAGTGCCAGGCCTGTAGGGCGCAGTAACTATGACGCCCCTGGGCTACTTTCTCATTCCCCTACCCACAGGAAGACAACTCTTCGCATTTTCCCTCGGCCTTGGTCCCTATTACCACGCTTCTTAGTAGCGCGCGGGCTGAAGGCGGGGCGAGGGGCGGGGCTGCAGCCAGCCGCGAGCCCGGGTTCGTTCTCAGGGGCGGACTCAGAGGCGGAAGTGAAGCCGTTGCAAGATCTTCTTCCGCTCTGAGGCGCCGCCGGTGCCGCGGACCAGAACTGCGCTGGAGGAGGAAGAACCCGGGCCGTGGCTGACATGGAGCAGGTGGGTGCTAGAGAAGTTACTGGGACCGGAGGTGGTACGAGGGCTGCCTCTTGCCGGCCGATCCTGCCTCCCTGCCGGTGTCCGTTCTAGGTTCTGTCCGACCCTTCCCACACCCACCGTGTCCAGGTTCCGCCCCCTTCCTCTGCTCGGCCTCTCTCGGCCCAGTGCGGGCTTCGGGGGTCTTAGGCTGTGTGACTCCTGGTGACCCTGCCCACCCTAGAGAGCTGAGGAGAGCGTCTGGGATCGCCTTCCAAAGCCTCCCTCTTGACTGTGAAGGGATTGGAGAGGGTGGGGGAACAATGCTGGGTATTAAGGGACAGAATTTGGGTATGGGGAAGGGTCAGGATTTGGGAGGAGGAGGGAAACATCTACGCATTCTGGTAGGGCGGTAGGTCTGCGTCTCGTTGTCATCCGGTGTCCCCCCAACTTCCTTCCGAAACGACCATGAATAACTTCCTAATAGATATCAAAAGGGCCCTTTAAATCATCTTTCTTGAGTACTTAGAGGTGCATTGACACTCCTAATTGACACGTTCCACCTCTCTGCCATTTTCTTTGGCTTTCTCTGCCTCAGTACCTCCTGATTTTCTAACCAACCGCTCTGACTGTAGGTCAGAAGTACCATTTCACATTCTCCTCTGTTGCCCAACTCCTTGCTCTGTACACTGAATCCGGATGGTCTTATTTACTCTCACAGCTTCAGCTTTGCACCAACTAAATATTCAGACCCACATCCTCAGCCTAGCCTTTCTCTGGAGATTTGGCCATCCAGTTGTCAGTTGGACAGCTCCACTTCAGATAGAGCTCAGTGTGTTTAAACTTGAAGTGGGCTGGTGCGGTGGCTCATGTCTGTAATCTCAGCACTTTGGGAGGCAGAAGCAGGAGGATCACTCGAGGCCAGTAGTCTGGGTTAACAACATGAGACCCTGTTCCTATAGGGTCAGGTTAGCCTGGCGTGGTAGTGTCTGCCTGTAGTCTCAGCTACTCAGGAGGCTGAGCTTGAGAATTTTAGACTGCAGTGAGCTATGACTGCACCAATGCACTCTAGCCTGGGTGGCAGAGTGAGACCCTGGCTTTAAGAAAAAGAGTGATAGAGGCCCAGACCTGATGTCAGTCTGCTCAGGAAAACAAATATGGAAATGGGCAAATGATGTTAGATGGCAAGCATTAATTCTAGAGTGGTGGGGTGCAGGGAGATGAAGCTGAAGAAAACAGAGGCTGCTTTCTCTGTTGAGATTGGTGATTACTTTCCTTGCTTGGCCTTGAGAAAATATCCCTTGGTTTAGGAACCAGTGTGGATGATTCTCTAGGACTATGCTTTGGAGGCCTAGTACCTGGTGTTCAGGGCTAGGCCCCCTAAGGTAGGATCATTATACATACCTTTGGGCTGGGCTTTTGGCTTAGAACAGAGCCTGGGCCTTTGTTCCTCCTGTTCTGTTGCCTGCCTGGAATGCCCATCCTCCTTATTTCCAGCTGAGAGATGCTAATTCTTCAAGGCCTAGATCTGATTGCCCCTCCTCCCTGTGGCTTTCCTGACCTCACCCACTCCAGCCGGGGTCAGATGATCGCTCCTCTGGAAGCCTACAGCCTTTGTTCATTCCTCCCTGAAAACACTAATCACAGCGTGGCACCATGTTATTTATGTCAGGCTTCCTCATCAGACCCAGAGCCCTTGATGGACCAGAGCAGGGTCCTGCACAGTATCTTGCACACTGTAGGCTCTTAATACCTGTACATGGCATTAAATTGAGCTCTCACACACCTAGACTTATTATGGTAGGGTAGTGTAGGTGAGACCCAAAATCCTGCACATCTGGCAGCTAGTATGTATTTCACTGAGTGGTAGAGCTTGTTGGATCCCTTTTATAGGTAAGGAAGCTGAGATTCAGGGGAGATAAGGTCAAGGTCATACAGCAGGGATTTAAAGAACTATCCCCTGACTCTAGGTCTACAGCTGTCTCCCAGAAACTCCCTTGGGGTTTTAGCCTCCAAGCAGGCAGCTGCCACATCGATGGGACAGAAGACAAGGAGGATATTCCACCTGACCAGTCGTATGTCTCTCTGAACTTTTTCTTACTGGGAGGAGGCTAATCCTGGCCTTTGGTCAGGGCTGGTGCTGGGAGGAACCTGTGCTGAAACACCCCCCATCTTTGTAGAGGCTCTTCTTTGAGAAGGCTGAGATGTCTCTTGGAAGATGACTGGGCCCTAGACTGAGCCTGAAACTTGACCTCATCAGCCTCAAGTTTCACCCAGTAGCACTGAGGGATGGGGTGGAGCCTGAGTCACTGGCCCCTGAGTAGGCCAGAGTTGTGGATTCACAGAGCTGGGACTTCTCTGACAATTAACAGGGGCTGGCATGAGGGGGAAAGGAGGGCTGAGTAGATCTCAGTTGTTAGAGTTTTCCAGTAAACTGTAGTGGGAGAGCCTCCCTGGCTGGGGAGGAGGAGTATATGGTGAAGAATCTAGTTTCTATTTGCCTTGACTCTTCCTCTTATGCTTCCCCAGAAGGAAAGGAGAAATAGAGCCAGGCTTTGGCTTTAAGATCTTACTTGTCACTGCAGCCATGCCCTCCTCTCCTTAAATTCCCATTTCTCCAGGGGACTTCCCAAACCCTCTGTGGGTAGGACCATTACGCCAACTGTCCTAAGCCTGATGACATGGGCCACTGAACCCTGAATCACAGGAGAACCCAGAATGTGCCATCCTAGATCATCTTCCTGAGGCTTGGGCCCATCCTTCCATCCCTAGTACTGCTGGGACTCACAGTTTGCGCAGAATGGCTGGCCCAGGGACCTGCCTCTGACACTGTGCCCTTGGAGGGTAATAGCAGCAATAGCTACTATTAAGTAAGCACCGTGCTCATGTTATTTCTAATCCTTTCAAACTCTGTGAAGTAAGAAGGTATTACATTTTCCCCATTTTACAGATAAGAACATTGAAGTTCAGTGAGATTTAGTTACTTGGTCAAGGGCACAC